CACGTCTTGTTCTTCTCGATGGACTTGAGCTCTTTTTGCATGGTCTTATTCCACGCCTCCTCAGTTGCCGCCTCGTGATATGTTGTTGGCTCGTTGGTAGTGAGCAACAACAATTCATCAAGATTCATCTCTACTAGTGGTGCTTTCGCATAGACCTCGGCAAGTGAGCGAAATTTCTTGGGAGCATCTTTCGTTGTGGGTCTTCCTGAGTTCTCTTGTTGTCGTTGAGAGTTCGGCGTGACCATTGGTGTCATTGGCGAGGTTGAGTCCGCTACTTCTCCGTCATCTTGTAAAATTCCGAACTCCATAGAATTTTGTACGAGCTCGTCATCATCGTTGCACCATTCTCACTTCTTCTCCTCTTCAAACACCGCGTCTCTGCTCACAAGAATTTTCCTGCGTGGTGGATCGAGAAATCTGTGCGCCTTACTTCCGTCTTCGACGCCAAGATACACCATTGCTTGACTTCGATCATCGAGCTTCTTGAGATGTGGACTTGCAACCTTCACATGTGCGGTACATCCAAACACTCTCAAGTGCTTCAAATGAGGTTGCTTGCCGAACTATGCTTGGTAAGGGGTACAATCTCCTAGCACCTTTGTTGTCAAGCGGTTCAAGAGATATACTGCATGTCGTACCGCCTCTCCCCAAATGTTTACCGGGACTTGCATGCTTTTAAGCAAGCTTCTCGCAGTGCCCATCACGGCGCGATTTCTCCTCTCCACCACACAATTTTGTTGAGGTGTGTACGATGCCGTGAGATGACGCTTGACTCCCTCTTCTTTGCATAATTCCGCAAATTTCTGTGAAGTGAACTCGCCACCTCGATCAGATCGTAAAGTCCTCAACTTGTACTCCGACGTGTTCTCCACGAGCTTCTTGAACTTCTTGAATGTTTCAAAAACTTCTCCTTTTTCTTTGAGCATATACACCCACATCCAACGACTATAATCATCAACAAGTAAAAAGAAATACTTGTTACCGGCGAGTGATGTCGGGGTGATCGGACCACACAGATCCGCGTGCACAAGTTGTAGAGGGTGCTCTGCTCGGAAGTTGGCTTGGGCAGGAAACGACAGTCTTGTTTACTTTGAAATTATGCAACTCTCACACACTTGGTTGGGGTGTGTGATCTTAGGCAGCCCTATGGCCATCTCCTTCTCCCCCTTCTCCCCTTCTCCCCCATCATTTTGAGCGCATAAAAGTTTACATGCCCAATTCTCGCATGCCATAACCAAGCCGGATCTGCTAGTGATGCTAATAAAGAAGCAGGTTGGCTTGTCTTGAGGGAAACTTTGTACAACCGATTTGGCATTTTTCCACCTTCATCAACAGGGCGTCATTTCGGTCGAACATCTTCAAGAATGAGCAGACTAAGGTGATCGTGTTGCCTTCTTCTGTCATCTGACCCATCTGACCGAGACTTATACCGAGACTTATGATATTACTTTTTAATTTCGGAATGTAATATACCTCGGTCATTAGATGTTAATCGCCGTTTTTGCACACAAACAAGATGGTTCCTCGGCCCTTGATCTCGATGAGTGAGCCGTCTCCGAACTTCACATTTCTGGTGATCTTCTCATCGAGCTCATTGAACTTCTCTCGATGGCCTGTCATGTGGTTGCTTGCTCCATTGTCAAGATACCATACGTCGGTGTGATTATACTCCTCGCCACTTGTGAGGAGGTTCGCCTTGACTTTTTCTTCATTGAGTAACACCCCCTCTGGTTCCTCCTTGGACGATTCTTGCGTGAACTCTTCGAGGTTTGTCTCCTCGTCTTCGGGCAAGGAATTCGCCACTCCCTCGGCAAACATCAACGCTGGCTCCTCGTCATGGAGGCTAGTAAGGTTCGCTTCCTCTTCGAGCTTCTTGCTACGACATTCAGACGCGTAGTGTCCATACTTTTGACAATTGTAACACTTCACTGTGCTCTTGTCTTTGCGGGGTTCGATGTCTTCTTGTCGAGGTGAGTCTTCTCCGCTCGACCTTGCCCTCGTCCCCGCCCTTTGCCACGACCTCGGCTATCTCCACCATTGTCGTCGCTACTCGACGATCCGGAAGAAAAATCGGCTTCTCCGTTTTTCTTCATTCGGGACATCCATTATGCATGCGTGAGCAAGAGGTGCTTCTCCTCCTCTTGGTCTCCGTAGCCGCGAAGTCTCTCTTCGTGGACTTTGAGACGACCGACGACCTCCTCGACGGTCATGTTTTTGAGGTCACCGAATCGCTCAATCGCAGTGACGATCTGCATGTATTTTTGTGGTACGGCTCGAAAGAACTTCTTGACGACAAAGATCTCCTCTACCTTCTCTCCCAACGAGCGGATGTCTGTCACAATGAACGTCAATTTCATGGTGAAATCGTCCACCATCTCTCCGTCCTTCATGCGGATCACCCCGAAGTGATTCCTCAAGGTCTGCACTTTCATCTCCTTGACTCGCTCCACGCCGACATGCATCGTCTTCAGTGTCTCCCATGCTAGCTTGGTGGAATCCTTCTCTACCACCATGAGAAGAACGTCCTCCGGTAGCGCTTGATAGATGGCAGCGAGAGCCATTCTATCCTTACGCTCTTCGACCTCGTCTTGCTCCACGGCTTCCCACACTCCTTGAGCTTGTAGGTTCACACGCATCTTCAACGCCCACACCGAGTAGTTACTCTTTGTGAGTAATGGATAAGAAAG